TAAGGTTTTGGTGAAAAGATTTTGATCGGATCGGAACAAACAACTTACTTGAGGGGTCAACTTTTGGGAACGCCTTATATAAATAGTGTTGTAAAGGAAACCGGTGGCAGGGAACGGGGTAGGATGACAAAATTCTCGGTGGAGGATTACGATTACGACGAAGGACCTAGCAATCGAGTCTCAAAGAGGCGAAAGATGTCTTTTCGGCACACCTCCAGCGTTGAAGCTTATATAGTGGAAAGATCAGAACCAGAAGTAGTCTTCCCTGAAGAGGAACAAGAAGAAGAGGAGGAGGGGGAGGAGGAGGAGGAGGAGGAAGAGGAAGGGGAGGACGAGGGGGAGGACGAGGAGGAAGAAGAAGAAGAAGAAGAGGAAGAGGAAGTGTATGAGGAAGAAGAGCAAATTGAAGGTTCAAGGGAACAAATATCGAAGATGGATGGTAGTTCCTCGGGGCCAGCGAGAGATGGATCCATTTCCGTTACCCTAACTGACCCAGAAGTCCTTGATTGCCCCATTTGCTGTGAACCTTTGACCGTTCCTGTCTTTCAGGTCTGCACCCTTCAACTTCTTTTTATATATTTATTATGTGATGATCTTCCTTTAGGAATGTCATATTGTGAGTACGCCTTTGTTCATTTGCATTTCTTTTGTGAATATTCGTAATTCATGAGGGTTTATGGCGTGATTAAGGCTTTTTATCGAGGAAAAGCACTTAACTTTGATTGTTTTTCATGGTTCCGGATATTGGGTTCTCATTGGTTAACTGTTGGATGAGGAGAAGGTTAGATGCTTGGGTATTTCAGGTAATTAAATGAGGAGTAAATTAAGAGTTTGAGGGGACTGCTCTTATGTAGAAAAAGAAAGATCCCAATGTTATAAATTGAGGTGTGGAATAGTTATCAGAAGAGTTTTATAAAACATACTATATTGGAATTTGTTGATGGTTTAGACAAGCATTACATGAAGTTAGATTACCACTGGATGTGTTAAGATATCTAATTTTCAAAATAACAAATTACATAACAAAGACGTCTCTGCATAACTTTCTTTTATCAAAGCATTTTGGTAAAACATGTTAACAAATGTCTTTAAGGGTAGCCATATTTTCGCCACAGTTTTAGAAACTTCTGCTTTGATTGTCTTACAATTGTGAATTTCTTAGTAATCGTAGTGGTGTTTGATTGAAAGAATCTGAAAGCAAGTATGCTTTAAAGAGTATTGATAATCAAGAAGTGCAAGGATTCAATGACCCAACTTCAATATTCCTCTTGGCTTTGCTTAGTGACTAAAATACCAAATGCAGCAGAGAATGCAGAATAGTCTTCAGCTCGCAAAAAGAAGTAGTTAACACTTAACTCAGAAAATAAAAGCATCTGAGATTTAAGTTGATAGATTAGTTATTATTTTGACATGGCAAATACACTTTATTTTGAGTGTTAGAGTTTTCATCTGTAGTGAGGATTTGTAACATTAATAATCTATCTTCCAACATGAAAAGTTGCATCTAATTATACTGTTTATAGCTTTGCAATATCTTGTGTGTTTCATGGGAGTTTAAGAGTAATGATTGACTGGAATGGTAGCTTGTATCAGTTATTCTTTGCTTTGTTTTAATCTGCATCAATCTTCAAGGTTGCATAATTTCTATTGTTATTAGGAGCCCTAATGCCAGAGAGACTATTGGGAAGCTTCCTTTTTTGATCCAGCTATGATTATGTGCAAAGTAACGTAAACCCATGTTTAGCTTTAAGTTGCATCTTTGAGAAGGACTAGCTTCTTC